AGGGTAGGGGTGGAGTCCCCATTCCTGGAGGGATTTAAAATCCACGTGGATGTGGCACCTGGGGACATGGCCTTGGCAGTGCTGGCTTGGACTTGATAATCCCAAAAGTCTTTTCCAACCTAAACAATTCTATAATCCCATGATTCTACTTTGGACAGGACAGGAATCTCAGGAGATCACTCCCAGAAAGCTGAAAATCTGGGAGTCTCAACCTCATTGTCAGTCAGGAGCAAATCCAGCCACGGCTGCTGATCCTTATCCCCAAAAAAACCCACCTTTAAACAGGTGCTGCTTTTATGGATACATTTCATCCTAATCAATGTGGAATCACATATTTCATGGAGTTTATTGGCAAAAGCTTCTAAAGGAAAAAAAACAACAATGTTAAACGAGGCTTCTGAGAAGTGTAATTCTTATATTTTCCTTCCATTCCTTCCATTCTTTCTTTCACTCACAATATATTTCACAAAATATATTTACAGCTCCCATCTCCCAGCCTGGTTCCTTGAATCTTTGAGAGACAGCAAGTCCTGCTTTGGAAAACGAGCCTAAATCACTTATTTAAAACCGAGTGCTGGTAAAACCACATTAAATCCTTTTACTCCACTTCTCTGAGCTCTAAATTGATCCTGAACTTTGGCAGCTGGATTAAATCTTAGAAATTTCCTTAAGAATGAAACCACAAAGGTGGGAATAAGGGTCAATAACAAGCAAATATTGCTGCTCTTAAAATGGGCTATTTGAATAAAAAAAAAAAGATCAAAAGAAACAAAACCTCCTCAATCTGCTTTTGGTGGTTTTTTTTTAACATAGAATTTTTCTTTATTATTTCTTTTTTGGGCTTCTTTTTGATGTTGGGTTTTGTTGAGGGCTGGGAAATTGTTGCTATTTTTAGTTCATAGGTGTTCTGGTATCTCCAGAAGACAAGATATCTTGGAATTATTTCATCAAGGCTGGAGGACCAAACTTGATTTCCAGCTCTGGTGCCAAGGGAAGGTTTCAGCTACCAAATTCCTCAAAGGAATGAAGCCTTGAGTCACCTCAGGGATGTGCCAATTTAAACAATCATTAGGGAATCCTTAAAAACTAGGCTTGGTTTTGTTGAGGGCTGGGAAATTGCTGCTATTTTTAGTTCATGATGTTCTGATTGTCTCCAGAAGCCAAGATATCTTGGAATTATTCAACCAGAAGCAATCAAGGCTGGAGGAGGAAACTTTATTCCTGGTGCCAGGGAAGGTTTCAACTCCCAAATTCCTCAAAGGAATGAAGCCTTGAGTCACCTCAGGGATGTACCACAACAAACCCTTAAAACAATCATTAAGGAATTCATCCCTAAATCAGTGGATCATGGAATTGAATCCTGGAATCACTAAGGTTGGAAAAGGCCTCTAAGACCACCAAGTCCAGATGGATGGTGGCTGGTGGTTGTTGAATTCTGAGGGAAGCTTCCAAGAGATGAAAAGGCAATTTTAATTTGAATTTTAAAAGAAAACCAGAAAGAAGAAGGGAATGATCATTTATTTCTCTCTCCCCGAGAAGGCTCTAACAAGAATAAAGAGGTTTTGGTTCCTGGAAGGAAGATTTGGACTGGGAAAAAGATTTCTGGTGTGAAGGGAGACATTGAGTGGGGGAAGAGACGGGTGAAAGATGTCACATGTCCTAAGCTGGAGGTCTTGGAGCACAGGTTAGATGGGAATCTGTCAGAAAAGGGTTATCTGGGATCTTTGCCTGACTGACAGGGATTGACTGGAATCATGGAATCATGGAATGGTTGGGTTGGAAGGATCCTTTAAGTCCATCCAGTGCCACCCCCTGCCATGGGCAGGGACACCTTCCACCAGCCCAGGTTGCTCCAACCTGGCCTTGGACACTTCCAGGGATTCTCTGGGCAACTTGATTCAGTGAATCTGGAAATATTCATGTGATCTTAATTATGATTATTCCACCTCTTCATTAGAGTTGGGATGTCCCGTTCACTTCCTCTCACAGCAGTGAATTTACAGACCAAAATGTATCTTGTCACCTCTTGGGTCATTATCTGATGGATCACTTCAAAGTTCACCATGTAAAATCATTAAATCACGATTTTGGAAGCAGATTTCTAAATATCATAACTCTCCTGAACATCCAACACCTTCCACTGCCTTATTTTCAGTGCCCTACTCAGGATTTTCCTGTTGGTCTTTATTTACTGCTTTTATTACAGGGGAACAAAAGGCTGCTCAGAGCAGACAGATAATTCCTGTATTTCCTTTTTTTTTTAAAAAAAATTGGCCAGAAAAATCAATTTCAATGAGCTTTGCAAAAGCATTTTCAGTGCACTCACGAGGTAAGAAAGCGGCTCTGGCAGCTGTGAAATGACACAGAGACACATTTCCTCTAAATATTTATACGGACGCAAGATAAACCATCATCTTTAACAAATATTTTGGGATGGTTTCCTATAAAATGGATGCTCCAGGAGGGATGGTTTAGCAAAAAAAAAAAAAAAGGCATTTGAGATGGAACAGCTTGTGTAGTAAAATTCCTTCTGCAGCAGGGATGGAAAAAGCAATTGGAACCAGACAACTAGAAAATGAGAGTTGTGAGACAGTATTTGCAGGAAGAGCCGTTTTTAGGTTTGTTTTGAGTCTGGAACTTCCTAAAACATCTTGTTGCTGCCTTTTCTCTTCCTATTTTGAGGGATGACTTGTGGGGGGAATTCATTAAGGAAGAGATTGGGCGTGGGATTTAACTTGGATCCAGCGTTGTCTGACACCCTTCTGGTTTTTTGACTAAACAATTCAATTTTGAGTTTAAATACGATTCAAAATGTTTTGGATTTAGCTGATTTTTTTTTTTTACCAGTTTGGATTTCTACCAATGAATAACAGATTTAGAAATCAGAGCCTTGGAAAGCAATAATGGAAGTAGAGGAAAAGGCTTTTTATCACGAAAAAAAAGGGATGTTGTGACTCTTCGAAGAGCCCGGGACAGCCCAAATCTCAGTTCCTGTAGGAACTGGACACCAGAGACTTGGCTCCATGGGAATTATGGAAAGATAATTGTTGGTTTTAATTTGGAAAATCAGAGTTGTTGAGGTCATGATGGTCTAACACATCTCTGCATCTCCTGGGCTGGCTGGTGTGGACATTCCTGGCCTTGCCGTGGCCAGCCAGAAATGGGGTTCCTTGTAACTGAGACTGATACCATTTGAACCATTTATTGATGATTCTCTGAAAGAAATACCAGTTTTGAGGAACTGTTAGACACCAGATCAGTGATTATGGGGTCAGAACCACCTTGGGGGCGGAGGGGGTGGAGGGGGAGGGGATGGGTGGAACCTCATGGAGGCAGGGTGGGGTCGTGTCCCTCAGGGCAACCCTGGGAGCCACCTGGGAAAGCCCCAGAGCGGCTGTCAGGGAAAACTGGAACAGCTTCTGGAACCCCTCACCCAGCAGGGACAGAGAGGACACTGCCCTATAACACCTCACAGCTCCTGCAGCCCCACACCCAGCTCCCACTGGCAGGGACAGGGAGAACCCGGCCCCTCAGCCCGACCTGGAAGCCCCACAGTGGCTGCTGGGTCAGAGGGGGCCTGGAGGGGATGGCCAGAGGGTCCAGAGCAGATAAAACCAAAGGCACATGTTGGCCTGGTGTGCTGGCCCTGCCACGGGACTGGGGAGAGCTGATCCTCTCCAAGGCTGCAGTGGTAGCTCCAGGATCTGTCTCTCCCTCTTTCTCCTTCCCTCTTCTTGCTGCCTCTGCTTCTCTTTCTCGGCTCCTTTCCTGATGCTTGGGGTGGTTTGGAGCTGGAGGGATCAGATCTTGACTGAAGTGTGGGGAGATTGGTTGGATTTTGCTCAAATGTTGTGGATTGTTGGGATTTTGCCTGAAGTGTTGTTGGTTTATTGGATCTTGATTTAAGCGCTGTGGATGATGATGTGCTGAGTCAGTACTGGGGTGGAACATTTTCATCCAGCTTGTGTGGTGCCCTTTTGAACTTTGGCCAAGTTTCCTTTTGGAATCCCCTCACTTAATGAAGAAATCCCTTTGGAACAAGCCCGTGACTTATTCTCTTGTGCTTTCTGGAGGTAGGAAAGAACCCTCTCGCTCTGTATTGAAGGAAAGTCCTGGCCAACGTCATGAGCTGCAGCTCCCAGGGCTTGGAGTCTTGCAAGGGGTGGGGGTGTCGATGTTCCCTCTGAAAGACCTTTTAGCCTCAGTTGTGATCATTGTGGGTAGTTTTCTTTTCCCTGCTTTTTGTACTCCAACCTCCTTGGCTTCCTCCATGCCACAGCAAGGAGCTGGTCAGGGAGGATTAGTGGTTTTGCAATCTCCTGCCTTCTTTGGGGTGCTTTTGTAAGCCTGAGTGAACTTGTGTTCCTTGAGAGCTTCTATCCCTGCCCAGAATTCTTATATTCTGATGCCCTCCTAGAAAAGCCTTTCCAAACCAAACAATGTCCAGTTTTTTTGCCTTTATTCATGTTTGGAAGTTGACTCTCAATGGACTACGTGAAGGCAAATGAGCTGCAGGTTTGAGAGGGGAAGCAAATGTCCAAATATTTGATGTTCTCGGGGCCTCCCAGTTCAGTGACATTGGGAAGTTTGCAACTTCTTTCAGCTCCTTGTGTTGAGGAATGGGAAGTCAGGCTTTCCTGAATGTAGCATTAGCCAATGCAAGATTCTTCTGGGCCTTGCCAGCCCAGGTGTTTTTGTGCTGCAGGTCATGACTTCCATGAAGAAATGACGGCAGGAAGGAGCCACAGCTTCTGCCTTGGCACAGATGCCAAGCCTTGCCCCCAACGGCTGCAGCTGCTTTTGGGAATGGATTCCTTCCAAGCTGGGGCAGGTTGGCCGGGCTGGGGGAGGCCCCAGGGCCCATGGCAGTGTGTCACAGGGCCCTTTGTGACACGGTGGCCGTCGCCCAGGGGATGGCACGGCACGGGGCAGGGTGTCACAGGGCCCTTTGTGACACGGTGGCCGTCGCCCAGGGGATGGACCGGTGTCCTTTGTGACCCGTGGTGATAAAGGTGTCGGCGGCAACGCGGCCACGCCACCGTGCTCGGAGCGGGCGACTGGGCAGGACGGGACAGAGCGGTGCTGTGAGGAGCCTCCTCGCAGCCAACTCCTTTCTCGTCGACCAGGAGCGTTTTCGAGAGTTCTTTTGTGATCAACTTCCCTCGAGGCCACAGCACAGGAGTTGGGGACCCGGAGCGTTTCTGAGGTGACCCCACTCCCTGTGGGAGTGGCCCTCGAGGCCAGGCCACGGGCCTTGGTGACCCGGAGCTTTTCCGAGGAGTCACCAGTGGCTGTGGTAGCGGCCCTTGAGGCCATTTTTTGAGACTTTGCCACCAGGGGCTGTTCCAAGCCATCAGCAGCCCCTGTGGCAGTGGCCCTTGAGGCCATTTTTTGAGACGTTTCCACCAGGGGCTGTTCCAAGCCATCCCCAGTCCCTGTGGCAGGAGCCCCGCAGGCCATTGTGTCACACTTGGCCGCCAGGGGTTTTTCCGAGGTTTCTCCCCCACAGGTGCCCTCCAGACCAGACTGTGCCATGGCGGGGGGATGCTTCGGCCTGTGCCGGCTGCTCCGGAGGAAGAGGAAGAACAGGAGAGGCCCTGGAGCTGGCCCAGCACAGGAACCGGAGGAGGAGGTGCAGCACTTCCAGCCACTGCAGCAGGGTGAGTGCTGGAGCTGGGCCACAGGGATGGTGGCTGCAGCCAGCTGGGCCCCTTGCCGTCCCCTCTGGACATGGCCAGGGAAAGGAGGGGAAAAAGGGGGGCCAAGGCTGATCCCCCCGGCATCCGTGCTCCATTCCCTGGGCATCCCAGGGCCGGCCCTGCCTGTGGAGCGCAGGGCTGGGCTGTGTTCTCTGGCCTCTCCCGCGGCCCCTCAGCTCTGACTGCGCTCGCTCTTTGCCAGATCCAGGCCGGGACCGCCCAGAAGAGCAGGACCGCGCCCGTGGCCGCTTGCGCAGGGCAGTTCAGGTACCTGCAGCCATCCCCCCCTGGGCTGGGCCTGCTGTCCCTGCTCTGCCTGGCACCGCTGTCAGAGCACTCCATGCCACTTCCCTTTCTTCCCTGCCCTTTCTTCTCCTGCAGAGGTTGCTGAAATTCATGGGTGTTCGGCGCAGAACAGCCACGACCGCACCGCCCGAGCTCACGGCACAGCCTGACACCAGCGCAGCCGAGCTCGAGGCGGAGCCGGATGGCAGCACTGCATGGAGTGACTGTGCAGCCAGCGCTGACATGGCACCCATGGATTGTGCTGCCAGTGGTGACATGGCACTGACTGATGTCAGAGCAACCTCGGACATGGCAGCCATTGATTGTGCAGCCACCTGTGTCATGGCACCTACTGAGGGCACAGACACCGCTGAGATGGCACAGCTTGAAGGCAGAGGAACCACTGACATGGCACCGGTTAATGGCATGGAGACCTCTGACATGGCACCGATGGATGGCACAGCCACCTGTGACACCGCGCTGGCTGACACCGACACAACATCTGACACGACACCAACTGATGTCAGGGCCAAATCTGATGACACGGCTGAGGGCATTGCAAGCACCGACTGTACGCCCACCCCGGCACTGCTCTCTGCCTTCCAGGTCTTCGACTGTCTGGATGTGAGCACCTGTCCCGACAGTGTCCTGCAGATCCTGGCAAGGCACCTGCAGAGCCAGTGCCCAGAGAGGCGGCGCCTGGCTCTGCGAGAGCTCCTGGTGCTGAGCGTGGATCCCTCAATGGTGAGAAGGGGACAGGGGCTGAAGCCACACGGGCAGCCTGGGGCTGGGGAGGGCAGTGGCTTGGCCGTGGCTGGACTTGGGGAGCTGTGGCAGCTGCTCCCAGCTCTCCTGCCTCCCTCTCCAGCTGCCCAGGCCCTGTGGGACAGGCCTTTGGTCTCTGGGCCCCGGGGCAGCAGCGTGGGCTTGCAGTGGCAGAGTGGGGTTGTTGGGGCAGCTGTTCAGGGCTTCCCAGCACAACCTTGTGTTCCACCCAGGCCAAAGGCATCTGCAGCCTGTCTGAGCCCCTCCTGGAGCTGCTGCGTGATGGAGATGGAGAGCTGGTCTCCATGACCCTCTCCGTGTTCCGGAATGTGCTCCGGGATGGAGACAACAATGATGAGTTCAGCTCCACTGCCCCGAGGCTGGCTGAGGCGCTGCGGCCAGTCTTTGACAACGTAAGGCTCTGTGCCCCCAGCCACAGGCACTGGGTGCTGCCAGGAAACTTGGTGGAGTTTCAGGTCTGG